TGTGTGCAAACCGGAGGTTTCCATTCATATTCAATCCTCAAAGAGTGTAAGGTCATAGCCATGGTATCAGGGTCCGGGATGCGAACCTTAACCTCATCTATCCAATTATTTCTAACCGGGATTTCAAGAAGAACACGGGCGAAAGCAGATTTACCCGCTGCATATTTACACATGTTAGCAGTCCAAGAGTCCATAGCTAGGGGGATGCCAATTTTACTAGCAATATGACTTAGGCCTTCATCATTCCACGCATCATAGGGAATATCATGGATTCTAACCCAAAGAGGGATTTTGTCATGCAAATTGGAATTTAAATTTAGGCCCGGCCTCCACTTTTGAATAAAAATAGGAATATTTTTAAAGCTCCATGGCCCATTATCAATAACATTTTGAAGCCCTTCAACGGAGTTGAATTTAAACAAAAAAAATGTCATGCCCATTTAAAAGAACGTCCTCTATCCCAAATTGCGCCCATAATTTTGAAGCATAAAAGCGGACAACCGGGAAGGGGAGTCTCCTACCAACAAAGTAGCCACATAAAGTTTTAGCATACGTTTCACAACTTTTTTTCACAACCGAAACGGGTATATCTATGGGAGTGTCAATATTTTCATTTAGATTAGGGATAAAATGAAAATTTTCATTAGTATGCTTGTTAGACCCACTAATCACATGCGCAAAAGAATTGGGGAGAAGATTGGAATTTTTCCCCTTCCAAGCATTTTTTGGTTCTAAAAACATCTTATCACTCCCAAGAGGAAGCCGAGAGCTAGCCATGGGAGAATTAGAGGGATTTAAAAGGGTGGGGTTTTTTTCTAATAAAACATTACTACCAAGTGGAGGATTTGGGAAACCAAGGCCCGAGGGCTTAGGGCCCAAATCAGCAGCATCAAATAAAATAGAAGATAGGGGGGAAGGGGGGCGGATAACATTTTTCAAGTTGGAAGCAGTAAGGTCAAGGGGCTGAATGAGACAAGAAGAGGAAACCTTAGGGGGGGGGGAGGGAAATAAAAGAGTACCTGGGCCAGGAGGGAATGGGCCGAGAAGGGAAGCATTGGCCTGCCGGCCTGCCCTGGTCGATGGGCTTCCAATTCCATTAATTGCATCACAATCCATAGCACAAGGTTGTCCACTACTTGGGCTAGAAAAGATACCAGCCTGCTTTGGTCCAAGAATAGAAGACTGGGCCAAGTTTAATTCCTTGGGCTTTAACAGAACAGGTCCATCGAGGTTTAGATCAGCAGCAAAACTTGGGCTATTAAAACCACACGATAACCTACTATCTTCATGCAAACCCAGAACAGCACATGGGCCATCAATTTCATTTAAACCCGTCAGCAAGTTAGCTTCCATATCTTTTCGAGAACCCACAGAACCAGCCATACCTTCATTTTCTTCAAGATGGGTCCCACTAACAAAACCCAGCAGATTGGGCGGTAAATTTGAATAAGAAAATTCAAAAGAGGGGCTGTCATTTTGGCAGGTCTGCGAGAGGATAGCCCCATTTTCCAAACTCATTCTGACATCAACAGTAGGATCTATCCTCATAGCATGCGGCACCATACCTTCTTCATCATACTCTTTCTGTAGACACGGTAACTCCATCCCCCTACCCRGCCTATCTGCTCCTTCCCCGTCACCAACTTGCAGCCCATTTTTAAAAACAAAGAAAGAAAAGTCTTCCCTATTTTCAGTACACGCAACGTCACCAAACGTGAAAATGGGCAACGACCGTTGAGGAGAATTTGAAAACTCGACCGTTGAGCCCCCAAGGGCATCAACGTCCGGCTGGCCATGCAACTCCGGCTGAGGTCTGCGTCCAATATCAGTGTTAGAAAAACCCGAGGAATCATGGGAGAACGCCACAGGGTTATCACAGATTCCAACAGGTCGACTAAAACAGGTGGAAACGGAGCCAAAAAACGAAGGAATCTGGGTTGACAGCGTTTCCGAAGGGAGCTCCGGCGAGGACATTTTAACCTGTCCCATTAGAGAAGCAGCAGCAGGACACAACTTGTGGGAAGGTACTAACTGATTTTTGCACATAGAGGCCATAAGACCCTCCCTAACTGGATTTAAATCCCGAAAGTCATTCAGAACAGAAGAACAGCTCGAATGATCAACCTGGTAAGCCGAAGCATGCAGCTTGGGTTTAGAAACTATTGACGGGAGGGCAAGAAGACCCGCTTCAACATCTTCCTCAGCATCCACCACCTTCTTCTTTTTTCTTTTAGAACAACCACGAAGACTCCTCCCAAAGCTGAGATCCACAACATCAAGAGCCTTGAGAGGTGGTGTAGAAATGCTTTGGATTTCAAGTTCTTCATCAATAGGGATACACCTAACCGGACTAGGAGTAAGCCGACTAATGTTCACCTTTGCAAGCCTCCTTAGCTTGCAATTTTCCTCAAAATTTTCCACTTCTCCTTGATGAGACCTAGGAAGAGGTATGGAAAACTTAAACCGATTGATGGGCATACGGGATTTTCGAGTTTTCCTATGCATAGATTCTTCCAAAACAAGTTTGAGATTATCCATGGGAATAAGAAAAACCACGAAGAAGGAAAAACAACCACAAAAAGCTAGAGAGAATTTTTTAGAGAGAGAAACTAGAGAGAGAAAAAATTCATGCAAATGAGGAAGCTTGGGGTTTAGGGTTTAGGGTTTAGGGTTTAGGGTTTAGTGTTTAGGCTTTAGTGTTTAGGGTTTAGGGTTTAGGGTTTAGGGTTTTTTTTTTTTTGGGTAAAGGGGACGGAACCCCGGAAAACTTTATTGAAAAATTAAAACAATACAAGCTACGAGGGTTTAGGGTTTAGGGTTTAGGGGTTTAGGGTTTAGGGGTTTAGGGTTTAGGGTTTAGGGTTTAGGGTTTAGGGTTTAGGGTTTAGGGGTTTAGGGTTTAGGGTTTAGGGTTTAGGGTTTAGGGTTTAGGGTTTAGGGTTTTAGGGGTTTAGGGGTTTAGGGTTTTAGGGTTGTAGGGTTTAGGTTTTAGGGTTTAGGGTTTAGGGTTTAGGGTTTAGGGTTTAGGGTTTTAGGGGTTTAGGGTTTTAGGGTTTTAGGTTTTAGGTTTTAGGGGTTAGGGCTTAGGGGTTAGGGTTTAGGGGTTAGGGGTTAGGGTTTAGGGTTTAGGGTTTAGGGGTTAGGGTTTAGGGTTTAGGGGTTAGGGGTTAGGGTTTAGGGTTTAGGGTTTAGGGTTTA